CGCTACTAGGAGCAAGAACGCTACCAGGAGCACAGAGCATCGCTACTAGGAGCAAGAACGCTACTAGGAGCAAAGGGCATCGCTACTAGGAGCAAGAAGGCTACTAGGAGCAAAGGGCGTCGCTACTAGGAGCAAGGACGCTACTAGAGGCTCCTGGCATCGCTACGAACGGAGCAAGAATTCTACTAGTGTCCGAAGTTACTAGGGGCAAGAACGCTACTAGGAGTACTAGGAGCAGGTTCGCTAGAGTCCGAAGTTTTCTTTTCCTTCTTTGCTCCCACTAGGTACTTCATGCGGCTGCGACCGGCGAAGGTCTCCAAGGCTCCGCCCTCGGTGGACCGCTTGGTGGATTGATTTGTTTCTTACTATGTATGTGGTTTGTGGTGTGTGTTTTGTTTTTTTGGGTTGTTCGCAAAGAAAGTGGAAGAACGAAGGTGTTGTACATCAGTCGAGTGCACAGACAGGCCGTTCTGATCCGTCAGTCAGAAGATGGCGCAAGCGTCTAGCAGAATAAACCTGGCAATCGATCATTCCAAAGAATACCAAGCACCCCAGATATAGTTAAGTTTCCTGAAAAATCTAGGAACCAAATGAATAGTCCGAGCGTGAGCTATCCTGCATCCTAAGTAGTAGCTTCCTTGTGGCCTTCTACTGGCTACCTACCTACCTGGACCTACCTGGACCTACCTCTAACGGCCTACCCCCGCCCGGTCATCAGTGTGACCGCACAGCCAAACTGCAATCTTCGCTCAAGGGAAGAAAAAGAAACACCCCATGGTTATGTACAAGCGAAGCTTGGGGGGCTTAGGACAATGAAAAAAGACAGTATGGACAGTATTACGCCATGGCAAGCACATATCATTTACCTCATAATCAGTTGTTGCATGTTTGGCCAAGAAGGATTTGAGCCTAATGGAGATAGGAACACTTGGGACTGCCAAGCACATAGCTCTTGGGATATTGAGATGCCTCCAACAATGTGATTGGCATTGGCCCACACAGGTTCTCGAGAAAATGCCAAGGAAAGACCAGGGTCTATTGACGTCGTGTCTAATTCTTGCCATCCTAGTGAGCCAATGACAACAAAGGCGAAGGCAGCGCTGTTTTCTTTTTTGGGATTTTTTTGGTGCTACCAGGGAGGGCAGAACCAACACAGGTGGGTCGCAAGAAGTCTCATGATGAAAACATTGAGAAGGAGGACACTGTTATTGCTTGACAGAGTCCTAGGATGATAGAGCACGTGTGGGACATGTGTCTCGTTCGGTTTAGTTGGGTATGCCTGTTCATCTTCCCACAATAGGAAACTGGCACATGTTTGCTCCAACAGTGGTGATGGAGAAGGGTTTGTCTTGAAGGTAAAGTCTACTGCTCTATGAAGCGTACACACTGAAGGAAGTGGCCCAGTGGGTTTATGCACCATATCCACAAACATCCGTACGGATTGGAAACCGTACCCTCTTTTGCAGGTTCTCATGTCAAATTCATTGGTAAACGCAGTGCTTTGTCATGCATTTTGCCTAAATAAAAAACGTCCTTCGCACGGCACCTCAAGTTGCCTGCTTTTTGTGTAACTAGCTGTCCCCAGGCAGGCTCCGTGCGCAGGTCTTTTTCATCGATGCCATTGTCGAGCAAATCAGCGGCGGCGCACCCATCCGACATGGAGCTGCTACAACTACGCAACAAACGCCAACTCAACACCAACAGTCACCAACAGAAAAGGACTTAGTTTCTGTTTTTTCGAAAAAGAAAACCTCAACCACACATTGCACCAAAGTGTGAACAACGAAAAATGAGTTTCTAACACCTGCTCCCAGTTTACCCAGCCACGATCTGAACCCAAACCTGCTTCGTGAACAAAAGAAACTCAAGGGTCAGAACAATCACGAGTTAAGCCGTCTACGTACTGGTCTAAAGAAAAAGGGCTGACGCACCACAAAGGAAGAACACACAAAAACGAGGAGGACAAGGAACACCCGACAACCGAAACAACAAAACTAAAACGCACACCATGGCTACGTCTTGAGCCTTCGTGCTCATGAGACGTATGTGAAAACAACGAAATTACAGCACCCCCCATGTTTTCTGTTTTTGGGTCCCCGTTTACACTATTGCTTCAACTTGGTTACAGTATCTTGCGATATGCTCTTACGCAATGCATTGACATGCCACAATATTTGGCTCAAGGTATGTGCGTGTGAAAACAGCTGCTCGATCGCCTTCGCCCACTCGCTCTTGTGAACCTTGTTGGACTGTGAGTTGAATCCAGGGATACTATGCATTACACGCTCCACTGCGGGGAATTTGATCCGCACCCCCCCCCCCCCCCCCCCCCCCACCATGCGATGACATGACTGAGCGTCGTGGAGTCCAAAAATGTCAGAAAAGTGGGTCCGGTTTTCAGTCCCTAGGCACAAACATGCAAGCTTTGCATCAGTTCCCGTCCACCACTGATGCACGCAGAGAGTGTGTCAAAGTTCTGCAAAAGTTGTTCGAACATGTTAAAACCGCTCCACACTCCCACTCAGCATTTTCACTTCCACTCAGTCACCCAGTGGCATTGTAAAGATTCCTTGCACTCCACAGGCGAATGCGGTGGCTGCTTTCCAGCAGTTGCACCAGGAGGGTCGACCAGACTTCGACCCGTCAGCCACTTGGATCCATGGCGCCGGCTCGAGCTGGCGCCCGAGCATCCGTGTTGTTGTTGAAGACCTGGCAGCCCTGAATGCACAAGGCCCTGGAAATGTTCCCGTTTGTGGAGCAAGGAAAACGAGGTTGGAAAATTTGGGCGGAGAACATGGGATAGAAGATGATTTTCACATTGCAGCAATTGGCTTTCACATTTTGTCCAAGTCCTTCCCATCCCGTCAAGATCCGTCAAGTACTGCCTGTAGTTGTTGTATGTTTTTTGTTTGTTGGGTTTCCTTACCATTGTCTTGAATCACCTCCTTGCAAACAAAATCCGAGTCCCATCCATTCCGTTCAACCGGAGCGATGTTCGCGAACCCAGAAACAGGAGGACCCCAATAACGACACTTGTTCCCTGGTGAGGTGAGCACCCGAAGCTCTGCAGCGACTTGGTTTTCTAGGTGTCAATGAGGCTCAGTTGATCGAATCGTGGATGGTGGGAGCCTTTTGGAGTTCGGAGATGGAGATGTTGAGAAACTGGATGAATGGCATCCAGAAGAGCTCTTGTGTCCATAATTACAATATGAGAGATCCATCAAGGCATTACTGCCATCAGACTGCCAGGCATTCACAGTCTCCTAGGCACCATCGTTTCCGTGCTGATTAGCTCTTCATAATTGGAGGTATAACAATAGAAGACCCTTGCAATAGATGAAGGCCCTTGTTCAGGTATGTGTGGAGATACAACTCTTCCTGCAAGTGGGATGGCATGTAGTACTTCACAAGCAACGTCCAAGTCACCTTTCAAGATGTCGTAGATTGTGGGCCACGAGGCAATTCGGTGACACACGGGGTAGGAGCATATGGATATTTGTCAATTGCATGTGTTGAAGATATGTTGTGTGATGTGTTCACATGTTTCAGCGTATACATTACTCTGTACTGTCTTGCACTCTCCTTCTGTTTTGGAGTCACGGATGCCAAGAGAATCAAAAAGGGCTCTCATTAGCTCGAGGGCTTTAGATAGCAGGGTTGACATTCGGGGAAACAAGAGATCCCTTGTAGCAACTCCTGTGGCGCTCTCCCACTGGCCGCCGCCGAGTCCACCTTCTTCCAGCAGCGGTCAACAATGGTGGTCCATCCACACGTCATGTGCCTCTCGCACAATGTGAAGGTGAGGAGCCGGCTTCTGTTGAATGAGCCCAAGTGTTCAACGGTTTGTAATTAATCACTTTTCACAACAGACGGACATGTACAACGCAGGTGTTGAACCCCTAGCCGTAGCCTAACATGCTAATCATTCTTCGTCTTGCCCACTCCCATTTGCTCCCCGTGTTGGTGTAAGACCCATTGGGAAGATTCCTTGACTTCCTCTCTGCCCCAAAGGGTCTATGTAGCTCTTTTGATTCGATTCCTCACGACAAGCAAGAGAGATCTTGGCCAAACCCTTGTGAACAAGAGTGCAGTGTGCCAAAGGAGTCTCATGAGACCTGCAAATCTTTAAGTTACTGGAATCTGATCCACTGTGATCACCGTTTCTAATTAGTTCAATTATTGGACCCTGGCTACATGACACCAGATGACTCGATGACAAGATGTTTTACCAACTTGAGAGTCCACCTGAAAAAATCGGATGGTGAGTCAACCAGCCTGTAAGATTCTCTTTCTGCCACACCAACATCCCCAAACCACTGGTCGAAGGCACATGGGTCACCAGCATCCAGACCTCACGTGCATTGGGAGGCACCAAAGTGGTCCTTCACCTCACGTGAGACTGCCAACGTGAAGCATCATGTGCCTGGTCCAGGCACCTATGAGCTATCACCCTCTGAGAATGCCGCCAAGCACTTTGGCTGCAAAAGCTCTTCCGCATTGCTGGCGCAATCAGTGTCCACAATTTTGTTGTACACCGTCTACACCGTTTACGTCGTCTACACTACCCTTTACACCGTTTACACCCTTTGCACCGTTACACCTTCTACACCGTTGAAACCCTGACCGGCGTATCCAGTGTAAACAGCGTAAACAGCATAACCATAACCAGTGCAACCAACCACCGCCAGCGTACCAGCGTACCAGCGTATACAATCACTCGCGGACACGCTTTGCCACGTCGCTCCAATTTTGGCTCAACAGAGCCCGAACGTGCAACAAGACTGTCAGCTTCCTTCCGCCTGTGGGATCGATCCGGGCTTCCACCGGGCTCAGGACCTTCCACCGGCCGCCCAAGTTCAGCTTTGGCTCGGCAGGGCGAAACCTGGTGAAGAACTCCAAGCTTTGGCAGGACGGTCTGCACCGGCGGGATCGGGTGTGGCTTCAGGTGGACTGCAGCCCACATTTGCATACTTTCCAGAGAGGCGGTCGTCGCATACCCGAGTGCAGCTAGCCACTGGAGCCTTTGGCGGAATTGTTTTTATCACCAAATAGGTCGTGGATGTGTATTTCGATTGCATGAAGCATTCTGGCCTTCCAAAACCTTGTGGAAGCATGTGGAAACCAAATCTGGTACGTAGGATGATTCCTTTGCTAAGGAGTGTGGGTATGCGGGCGGGCTTTTGTTCTTCACTCTTTTCCAGCTATATGTTTATAACATAATATGATGGACTCATAGCTGGTTGGCTTCGCCAGGAGAAGCAGCCCCCGGGACCTGGGGCGTGTCTTGGTCCATTTGGGTCCCAGGAATGGACACTCACGTTTGACGATCTCATCATATCGCAGTGTTTGGGCGCCGGTTCTAGTTGATGATTAAGCTGTAGTGTATACTGCAAGTATGTATGTAGTAAATATTATGTTTTGAGTGAGCCAAGTGGACTAGGTGAAGGATTCTGCTTTGTGCCTTCTTGTACATCGAATGTGTTGCTGCACTTTCTTGCATGACTGGCACTTGCTGCTACCAAACTCGCACCTCCTTGGCCTGCAATCTAGGTTCCTTAGCAAGATTGTGTAAGGTGTTCACTGCGGATGCGTCCTTGTTCAGGAACTGCTCATGTTGCTCTAATATTCTATCTTTGCATCAGCGTCCCTATCCTTGAGGTATGGCGGCAACTTTACAACCTTCGGCTACTGAGCCCCGTGTCTTAGCTTTCTCGGAGGTGTCACAGCGATCGACTTGAGGACAATGCTAAATGGTCACAGAAGCTCTCTTTGTGAGAAACAGTCTCACCAAAAATGGTAACGGTAGTTGTGACGATATCTTGAGGGAGTGCTGCCACAGAAATGGATGTGCATCAAAATAGCGAGACCCCAATCAATGGGTTTTAATCGATGCCAACGTTCCTTCTTCCAGAGGGTCTTGGGGAGGCTTTTTATGGGTTTCTTTTTCTATTATTGAAACACAGGACGTATTGCGGCATTTTTCAGCTTCACACACCAACAGATACTCAGCTTCATAGCTGCTAGTAGGTGTATGTGAAAATTGGTTTTGGCCCAGAGCGAGTAGTGCCTCGCAGTTTCCCGGAGTTGCTCGACTGCTCACAGATGCTGAATGTTGGTCGCAAACGACGCCTCCCCGACTAGAGCTCGTTCCACGAGCAGTCCTGAATTCAATCACAGAAGCAAAGCCCCTTATGGCTTCTCAAAATAGGGGCCTATTTCTCATGTGAATCAATCCTCAATAATTGCTCAAGATCAACCAGACTGCCAGAGTCATTGCGGCCCCATATTTGAGACGCCCGTAGATATTGCCTGGCCTTTCGAAGTGGAGAAGCAAAACTTCTGGACTAGAGGCCATCGCTCTTAGGTTCCTTTTTGCCATTAGGTTGGGGGCCATCGCTAGTAGGTTTGAGGGCATCGTATGAGTCCAGAATCTACTGAACTCTTGGGGCACGCGTTTCAGAGAGCGACGGTGGCCTCGTTTTAGAACTTCGGACGCCCAAGCCGCTGTGCCGCATGGACACAGAAGGGCCGCTAGCGGCCGAATGCTGTCATAGATTGCAGTGCAGCGCCATCCAACACGCGTGGCGGACTGGCGGAAAAAGGGTGCACACCAACAGTCGAACTGTCCAAGGCCATGAACAAGTCGCACTTGACTCCATCGTAGAAAGTAGCCCAACTTCAACTTGCAGAGGGTTTCGGGGGGACCGATTTGCAACATCCTGCTTTCACAACTCTCCTGTTCTGCATTCCTTCCGCACTGAGTCGTCATTGCGGGTTCTAGCGTTTCAGGAGAGAACCTACAGCTGGAATTGTTGGAGGATTCTCAATCCCCAGCTCACTTCCTCTTGATTTCTGGCAGGTGGCTCAAGATCCAGATGTCGCGAGGAGGCACGATGTCAAGCTTCAGATGCAAACGAATGCACACAAAAATCCTCAAATTGTTCTATAGTTTTATACAATCCTCTCTGAGGACAAACCATTTCGGGGTGAGTGTGAGTTCAATGATCGAGCGAACCGTCTGTGTTGCGCAAGTTCATTTCCTCATTCATCATGTGGCACATGAAACAACTGAAAGAGACTATTGTTCTACGGTCTACGATAGGAAAACTGCGAGGCTATGGGAATTGAGCGTCCAACTCACTCAAAGTCCTGATGAAATAAACAAATCAGCAAAGAATTGATATGCAATATGACATTAAATAACACAAAATTGCATTATAAATCATATTAGTCACAGACGTCCAATAGGCATAAAAAGAGATCCCACTTACCAGAGCTGCTCAAGCCTGTATTTTTGGTTTTTGAGCGGACCTACATATGTAAGCCTAGATTTGGGTAGCCAGGCTCAAGGGGTAGTAAGCAGAAAGTGTGTCAAATCTTGAGCCTATATGCTTTTTTGGGGGTGCTATCTTGTGACAGCCTGTGTGTACACATACATAAAGCAATGGGACAAGACTATGACGTCGGGATGTAAATGATTTAGAAAACATTATACGTTGCCTTTGATTGTTGCACCCGCCATGGGTGATCCCTCGGATCCTATACTACAAGCCCACCAGTGGGCACATTGGCAGTTGCTATTGCTGATGTAAAAGGGATACATCAGCAGCCCAATGTGCTTTTCTGGAACCAAAATTGACTGGCTTTTCAAGTTTTGTGGGACGGCTCTTCCAGAAAGAAATTTCAAATATTTGGCAGCAGCCCGCAGTACCCAAAGGCCAGATTTGCCCTCTCTTGGAATAGCTCGGAACAAAAATCGTGATTGTATCCAATTTTTTTGGAGTTATGGAGTTACGGGGATATGCACAATTATAACATAATATAACATAATATAATATAAAATAGGAAGCGCCATTGCCAGCTTAGACTCGTGCAGCCATTTCCCCCTGGGTTCTTCGTTCATGACGAGTCGGAACCGCGGTCTGGGAGATATGTATTGGTGGATTTTTATTGTTAGGACGATCTTCTTTTTCTGGTCGCTCCAAGCTGCACCACTGCTTGATTACAACGAGTTGGCAATTCCGGTCCCAAGTCCGGAGGATATGTTTTTGCCGGATATTTTCCTTGCCCCTGCACCGAGCATGTCTGGCGTGAGGGTTGTCATAGGCTCCTCGTGAGTGCCAATGCTACTACCTCTAAGTAGAATCAGCTTGGCACGAAACTCAACGAGGCATGGGCGTTTGTTGGCTCCGGCCATATTCAAGACCCATCAAGATGCAAACGCATTAAGAGAAGTTTTCGTAGAGCATGCAAGAAATCACTGCTCCACGGTTGTGCCCAATACAAGGGTATAGAGCTCTGGTCTTCGATGGTCCCCTTTAGATTGAAGCAATTGATCATGCCTGAACTCCGTGATCGACCTGCCTGAACTCCGTGATCGACCTGTAGCCAAGCCCCAACATGGGCCTTCCATGCAATCGACATCCGAGGCCTTACAGATCTTTTGCTGGAATGCATCTCAGAGCCTGCAACTGGATGAATGGCTCTCTTGGTGCTCCACCCAGCCATACACGCTGGTTTTGATTTAAGTGCGCCTGGTTGGTACATGATACATAGCTCCGCCGGCCGAGCCTCCACCTTGTGCATGGTTAGAAGCACGTTCCTTCGACCAGATCAGTTGACATTTACAGATGTGATTCCAGGCCGCCTGCAGCATATCAGACTGTATCTCACTAGGGTTCATGGTATTTCACTAGGGCTCATGATGTCTTCAACATATATTAGGTTGCTTGGAACACTACCAAACCCCGAAATATCCTCCTTTAAGAACGAACCTTGGTTTGGAAATCCCTTACGGATGCCATATAACATGTACCCAAGAACCATATGCTCCTGATTGCAGGTGTATGCTGCACCACCAGCCATCGAATCCAGAGATGCCAAATACGGTCTGGCTGCCCAGACAGACAAGCATGACTTTCAAAGACTTATCCATGACTTTGATCTTTGTGCACCCCATTGTCGGAGCAAATGGAATCCCACCTTTCAACACGGCACTCATTCATCTAGGATTGACTTCATGTTCATCCGGGCACATCAGCATCAAGGCAGGAAACATGATGCCAAGATACTCACACGGTTCGAACGGTCTATGCCCCATGACGGACCATATCATCATCCGCTGACCCTTTCCCTGCCCAGATGGTTTGCACCACCTCGAAGGACTCCCAAGCAGGCTCACATCGACCGTCAGCGATTGAGGCATGATTTCAAGCACCAGAACGAGAACTGGCAACTGTTTGAACACAAGATGCACAACCTATTCGACCAGGTGACCGATTAGACTGCATCCAATGCACTTGACACCTGCATGTCAGTTGAAAAACAGGTTCGTGACCTTTGTGTCCAACCTTTTGCCACACAACATGTTGACCGTTCGCTTTGTCCTCAGGTACGATCCATGAGCGCTCAGATGTGGTTTGCTCGCCGTCAGCTCCTTACTGCCCTGTTTACGAGTTGGAAACATGCCACACAGTTTGATAAGCTTCATAAGCTCATTCATAAACAAAATCGCATGAATCGTAAGAATAGGCTTGAAACCTTCCTTGAGGAAAGCGTGCCGTTTGTACTTCGAAACCAGATGCATGAATGGTACAAACGCGTTAGAACACTGTGTCCCAAACAACAGTTTCGACGCATCCAGATGTTCGACCAAAAAGGATCTCCAATGTCATAGGACCAGGAACTCGCTCGATTGGTGGATTATTTCCAGACATTGTTCATTGATGCTCACCCTCCACTTCCTCACCCACCTTCCCTGCAGACACTGCCGTTCACTGAGGAAGATGTACAGCTTGAACTTGAAAGACTCCCAATCACCAAAGCACTGGCCCCAGACGGATTCCCGGCCCTGATTTGGAAGCAGTTTGCACCGCAACTCACACCCATCATCTATGAATGCATTCGTCAAGCCTGGACCACTGATCCATGCATTCCGCCCACTAGATGGTCGACAGGCTGGTTGCATCTCTTGCCCAAACCTAAAAAACCCCAAACAAACCTGAAGCACTTAGACCTATTTGCCTTCAGCGTCCAGTGAATAAGGTCATGTCCGGACTCCATTGTCGGTTGATGCAGCATCATACATATCCAGTCCTCAGAACCATGCCCTTGTACGCGTACATGGCACACCGAGGAACTAAAGATTGTCTGCTGACAATCTCCCATCATTGCCGCACAGTGAGAGATATGTGCAGAGCTCATGGCAAAGACCAAGCCAAGCAAGGTCTGTGGGGAGGTTTGCAGATTTCGTTAGATATGGAAAAGGCCTTTGGCACTATAAGTAGGTCCATGGCATGTCCATGGTCTCTCGAGCACTCCATGTTTTCGACATGTCCACAAACCTGCAGAACCTCGTGCATTCGTGGTTGGCCCCACACCGGTACTGCATTTCTCACAAGGAATTGGTTGGCATGTTCCAGGCTTCAGGCGGCATAAAGCAGGGATCAAAAGATGCCCCCTTTTTCTGGACCATTAGCATGTATCTAATACTTCATGATCTTTTGGCCCAGTACGATCATGCCTGGATCATCAATCACATCCTAATCTATGCAGATGATATCCACCTCTGTTGGATCATCGCTGCATTGCATGACATGTCCTTCCTGATCAGGGTGTTTCGAGCTTATGGCCTTCGAATCAATCAACAGAAGAGCGTGGCTCTCACTCGCATGGTTGGCCGTGCGCTGAACTCGTTTCTCCGCCGTTGGACCAGCAGACCTACAACAGGTCCTGTACTGCACCTGCCAGATACCAAC